AACACACACACATTGGCAGAGTGCAAGTTCCGCTTCCGTGGACCAGGAATGCATTCCCAACTGAACCGGACTCCCTGTCCGTTGGGGTTTACGGATTTTCTAGCATCCCAGGACAGGAGGGCAATGTCCTGTGTGTGTGCGATGTCCTGGCTTAAACACGCTTTATTCAATTAGCTGCATCCGGTTATTACCTGCATGTAACCCACCGAATTCCCTTAGCCCGCCGCCGCATTATCCCTTTGCGGGAAACACAGGAATGTTCGTCCTGGAATGTTTATTTATGCGCATTTGTGCCATGCGTTCAGCTATTTCCAGCTGAGCGCTCTTGCGCTTGTGTGCAATATTACAAAATCATTTTCAAACCGCACTCCGAATACGGGGGAATCCCATATCCCCAGCGAAGGCTTTCCACTCCATAGTTTAGTAGCGAGTGCAAATTAAATTTTGTGTTAAACTCAAAAGCACCAAATCCCCAATCTACTCCCCAAAACCCCGTTGGCTCGACTCATTAAAAGTTTGTCTGTGCTGCGTTTAGGAATAACCATAAACAATATTTGCTTTCGTTTTGTTGGTTTAATTTTCACAGCTTCTGGAAGTCCTGTTTTCTGACTCCAATGCAGCATTTCAGTGTTTTATATTTAATTGCAGTGGCATTTCGATTTTTGTTTGCTAGAAACTGGTTGCTGCTTGTTAAATGCTATGTCAATGGCATTAACAGCTCTGTTAAATGTGTGTCAATATGTTTCGTGGAATAAAGCATACTTTTAGGCTTTGCTGTGGAAAGAAATGTAAATAAATATTTTGCAGTAGAAATAGAGTTTAGTTTTTAAACTAAAAAATATATAATTATTCAGCAAAATAAATCTTTTAAATCTTCTTAAATAGTTTAAATAACCAAAAGACAAAATGTTATTTAATAAACTCAATGAAAGGCCTTCATAAATGAAATAATTTTGTTACTTTTTTGAAATTCATTCACATGTTAAGATTATTGAAAAGGATATGTTGCAGCAATAAAACGACAAAAAGTCAAGTCGTAAGCCGAAAGCTTACAAGTGGAATACCACAATAACAAATTGCTTTAAATAATATCTTCATAACAGGCATAACACTATGCTAAAAATACGTATTGCCTGGGTCATATAAAAATATACGAGTATATATTTACGTTACGTTCGAGGGGCCACCGAAAAAAAGGGGTTAATAAATATATGCATATATCACATACGAAATCTCGTTGTAAGCTATTAAAGAAATATTCCCTGTTAAAGCGATGTCAGCCTGCCTGCCTGCAGTGCAATATTTATTTATTGCATTTTCCATCTCGCCATCTCGTTTATTAAATCTCAAATAAAAAAAATGCATAATATATTCGCCTTCTGTTGATTTATCTGTGACAAGCAATTTAATTCAGAACCAGTTGAAATGACTGGGCGAAGGGCGGATCGAAAGGGGACGGCAGCCATGTGGCTCATGTAGTTAGCGTATCCTGTTACCACATCCTTTTCGAAACGACAATAATCACAGTAATGCGCCAGATAACAGTCAAAATATCGAGAGAAAGAAAGAAAGAACGAAAAAAAAAACATCCAAGGACTTCAATGACAAATCCTGAAAGGAAATGCGAAAATAAAGTTGGCAATAAAGTTTATCCAGCCACGATGACAGGCCAAAGAGGCAGCTAAGGGGAAAATAAGAAAACTTTTTGGCCAAATAAGCTGTAATAACTGCTTCTGGCCACCCATTCGCCGCCCACAATTAGCGAAAGCAGCTTACTCAATAATTTAATAGAATTGATTATTATTTAAGTGCGGACAAGCCAATTTCTGGCCATGGCAAAAAGGGCTGCGAAGTCCCAAAAGGGTCGCAAGATAAATGCCTGCCCATTCGAGGGTCACGGGATTGGAAGCTCTCTCTCTCTCTCTATATATATATCTATATATATGGCTGGAACTGAGGCTGCCTGTCTGTTTGTGGCGGGGCTCTGGCACAATGGATGCGAGAAATCAATTTAAAAACCATCGGCCAACTGGGAGTTCCTGGCCCAGTGCCCGCCCACCGGACAATGCCGGCAATATTATACGTCCGGGTATAAATATTTATATCGCCGGCACTCCTTCCTTTTGACTGCCTGTCTGTGCCGAAGAATTCAATAAAAACCATGTGCAATAAATAAGGGCCAGCAAACTGTAAATACTCCCCCGTTCTCCTCCCCCCCCTTACGTAGGCGTATACGCAATATGCGACTGTGGCCACCCAAAATCTTCTTCGATTCTTCAATTTCCCATTTTGGCATTCAGAATTTGCATTTCCTTAACACCACTACACCACTACTGCTACTACTACAAGCTACGCCCACCTATCAGAAATGAGTTCACACAATTAAGTAACGCATTTATCGCACACACTCTCACACACTCACACACACACCCAAGCAGTGTGGGTGGTTGAAAAGTAATTCCGGTTGGGCGTGGCAGTGAGTTCAAGTTGGCAGCTCCTTAAAATTCATGAGGCTTCGCCTGCAACTGTAAATTGCATTTATACGCAAGTCAAACAGCACTCAAACCGACTGGCGATGCGGGGCAATGGGAGGCGACACATCCGGTGCTCTGTTATTTTTCACCGTGCAACATTTGGCCCGAACCCATTTTACCAACATATCCCCCAGCCCTTTAAATGCTGCTGTGGCTAACGAGGCGGGCGACCGACCAGAAGCATCAGCACCAAAGTCATCAACACACTGGGATAAATCATAGCCAAGATTTGTCATCAGAAAATGTCCTTTCTGTGAGGTTGTGACAGCTTTAAGTGACTTTAAAGTATAACCTTTGATGCAATCTTTAAGTATTTATAACAACAAATTCTAGTTTCTAGTTAGAACTTTTCTTTCAGTGCTCTAGTAAGGGCCGCTGGCTGTCCTGGTCAGAAGTTGAAAAATGCATTTGGCGTGGCCGTTCACAGAAAAACTGAAGGCGGTCGCCGCAGGAGGAACTTCGGATACATGTGTAAGGCCGAGCTGGAGTCAGTGAGACAGCGTGGTAGAACGGTAGAAGAACTCTGCTCCGGATGCAGGAACATTTGTTTTGTCTCGGGCAAATGGCCAAAAGCCCAAGAAATGGTCAACAAACATGGCCAGGATGTGAATGAGCTGACCAAGCATCCTATCATTTATTTCCAAGACCAGGGCAAAGTCAACAGCAAAACTCTGTGGCATAATTAGCAAAGGACTTTGGGTTTCTTACTAGCATGCAGGCACACGACCAACCAACCAACCAGACAGGCAGACAGGCAGACACACACAAAAATAATCATTCAAGTAAATGGGACAAAAAATATCACAACTGGGCTTTCGTTTATTTTCCTATGCCCTGGGAAATGGGATTGCGTTTAAGGGTAGTTAAGGCGAAATTAAATTATTGTTAAGAACTAAACTATATTTATAAGAAGAGGCAAGTAAATTTCAAAACAAATTACTTAACAACATCAAACGGTTTACGAGACAAAGTAAAATAAATGAATAAAACTTGTAGAAATTCCAGCCATTCATTAAAATCAACATGGGGTAACTTTCATCTGCTGCCGACAGCTTACACCACGAATCGATTGGGCTTATCTTACAGAGAATACTTTTACATATATATGTATGTAAATATATATAAAGCTTATGTAAACCATTGGTCACAACGATAATTGACGTATCCTTGAGGGTATCCAATCCTTCGGACCACAAAGCTGGCCCTGCGTATACGTGTTTTTACGAGTATTTACTTGGTCTGCCCCACGAAATCGGAGACAAGTCGCGCCCGAAAAATTCCTCAAGGATTGCGATATGGCAAGATACCAAGTAGTAGACGACGGCGTGGCAAAGTCGATTATTTTCGTCTCGAGTGACAGCAAACAAGTCTCAAATTACGGAATAGTTAACTGCCAAAGACGAGGATTGCGGGGGAGGGACACATCGGGGTGTATTCGGGCCTGAATGAATGAATAAAATGAATGGCTTATCTCTTGTTGACATTCGTCTGTGACAACATTGACCAGTTGACGACTAGCACACGCACACAAAGGACACCACACATATCCTTCGCCTTTGAAGGTTCGTTATCGCCTGGGTTTTTTATGCACTGGGAAAAATTTAAACTAATTCTATACAACTTTTCCTATGACTAACCCATGTTGCAATGTTGGTCAAGTTTTATGATCCTTTCCTCAGTGCACGAGGAGGGAAACTTCTTGGAGCTGAGTCAGCATCCGAAAACCAAGGGGACTTTTCTTCGCCTGGCCAGCCTCATAATTTGTGTGCATGTGTGCGTGTGTGTGTGTTGGGTTCGTGTTTATTGTGCAATAAGCTGCTCTCACTTCCCGGCTTGCTTGCTCTGCCTTCTTCGTCCCGTCTTCTGTGTCCTGTGTCCTGTGTCCTTCTCCACCTTTCTCCACTTTGTGAGTGTGCGTAAATCCGCTTTTAATGAAAAGAAAACCCATCTGAGTTTTATGTGCTGGCTCCTTCGACACTCACACTAGCACACACACACATGAATACAAAGTCGTTATAGAAGAGTTCCTGTCGGTTAAGGAAGGGGCATCTTGGCCATAACAAAAGGGCAACAGTTAATGCCGGGCCAACTAAATAAATCTTGTTTTATTTTCCAAGGCATGTGAGCCTGGAAACAGCTGTGAGCTGCCCTGCCCTGCCCTGCCCTGGCCATCCTCTTTTAGTGTTTTTCTCCCTTTTTTTCTCGCTTAGCCTTTTCCCCTGACAGTCTTTAGAAATCCTCCAAAATCACTAAATAATCGAATTGTTCGAGTTTCTCCACGAAATTATCGCATAAACAAGTCAATTTGTGCAGCTTTATGCAGGTTCTCTTGAGTGGCAAGCCAAAGTCCTGATAATGGATTTTATCCTGCAGCAGGAAGCTTAAGTTGGGTTGGAAGTTGACTTTCTTTTGGAACTTTCTTACCTTATTTTATTTTATTAATTAGCCACATTAAAAGAGATGTCCTTTTGAATTGCAAGAGATTAAATTTTATTTCGATTAAACAATCAAGAAAACAACTGCGCGAATAAAGGAGTTGAGTTTAGGAAAGAGTCATGAGAATTGTGCTGTTAGGAGATTTTAGTTTGGCATTCTGCATCAGGTCTTGGGTAGTTGCTGGCGTAGTTTCAGTGGTTCGATGTGGGGAATCCTTGGGGGGAGATTTACCAACCGCCACCTCCATGCTTGCCACCGCCACCGCCACCACCGCCGCCGCCTCCGTGCTTGCCACCACCTCCATTTCCACCGCCATGCTTGCCACCGCCGCCGCCGCCGCCTCCCTTCTGCCAGCCTCCACCGCCTCCTCCATTCTTCTGGCCACCGCCTCCGCCTTGCTGCCAGCCTCCTTGTCCACCGCCACCGCCTCCACCTCCCTTCTGCCAGCCTCCTTGGCCACCTCCACCGCCGCCACCGCCATTTCCACCGGCAGACACAATAGCAAAGATCACTCCGAAGAGGAAGACAGCGAGCAGAGTGAAGCGCATGATGAACTGGATATCCGTAACTGTTGGAGACTTCCAAGTAACTGATGCCTTAAGCCCAGCCAAAGCCCAGCTTATATAGTCACTGGCTTGGATCCAGCCAAGTCATGTTGCAGCCATGGCATAGGAAACTTATGATCTTGATCTTGAGCTTGCAGCCCACTAGAGAACTGCTAACTACTTGTGAGATGTTTAAGCCATTAATCATGCAACGTGTAGCGGGTGTTGACTGTCTCAATTATTTGCTAATTGTTGGCAGAACACTTGATGGCATATTAGAAGGTATTTTCATGTGGCAAAGCCATTTATTAAGTTTTTAGTTCCAGATTAAATATCAGATTTAACGGAGTTAACCAACTCAGAACACAGCTAGAAAAGCCATGTTAAGTTAGTTTAACTTTTTGTAGCTTTCCCTTGCTAAACTCAAATAAAATTTAAGCAATTTTCACTTTTCATTTTCGGCAACTTTCGCTGTGATTTATACGGCCTTCCTGCGTGGGCTCCTCAGCGTCTGACCCATTTTGCCTTTGACCCAGAAACTGCAAACCAAAAAAAAAAAAACGAAAAGCGCATCCTGCTCCTTTGGTTCACTTCGTTTTCGGCCAGAAGTCAGTGGCCAATTCAATTGAGATTGTGCTTGCCCACAGTGGAGTTAAACTCTCGCCCAGTTCCCAACCTAATGCCACCCCAACTTGCAGCATTATCAGCTGCAGTGCAGCATCTGATTTATGGCCGGCAACTGCGGCTGGTATGGCGGCCATTCAAATGAGTTTTGACGTGATTGTAATAAATTGTCGGTCAACCATGAGGCGCCCAGCTCCCTCCACTTTTGCTGACCACAGCCGGGTACTTGGCTTGAAAAATTTATACATTTCATAACTTTGCCATGAAAAGCAGCTTGGATAAGCGGGGAAAACTTAGCTTGCAACTCGGGCAAATAAACTAGCCAGAAGGAAAATATAAATTTATATGGAAAACTGAAGGCCAGAGAATAGCGAAATGTGTTTTTAAACTTTTAAGTTACAGAAAATACACTTTGAAAAACTATAACAGAGGTATATATTTTTAATAAAAATAAGTTAAGTATTTTTTAATTGGCCCTAGGCTTGATCTGACCCTCATTACGTATACGCCGCATGTGTGCATTAATTAAAAAATCTCCTGGCCATTAGCCCAGGTCCTGTACAAAGTCCTACGGCCTAAGCAAACAGGTTGATTAGCAAGTAGGACAAAAAAGTTGAGACCGCAGCAGAATCCATGTTTGTCCTTCTATCCGCAAATGTGACTAAAAAGCAGAGGAAGAGGAGAACGAACCCGGAACTGGATAGACTGGAGGACTAACAGTAATTTGCATAAAAAGGTTAAGACCATTAAATGTATACCAATTTTCAGGGACAGCAGCTACTAGATGCTGACTGGCATTTGGTCGTTAAGTGCGCTAGCAAATGACAAACTGGTCGACAGGCACTGGCAGTGGCTCTGCCTAGGAACCTTTGTCTGCTGAGTCAGCTGAAAAAGAATTTCACTTAAATATTTGGCACACTCTCTCCTTTTTCGCGCTTCTCCCCGCAAAATTCCCTTTCCCCTGTTGGCGGTTATTCAAAAGTTAAATCACAAAGTTTCTCCCTTGGCCAAAAAACAATTCGCGCGCATTTAACCTGAACGAAACAAAAAGTTGTTTCTGTCAGAAAGTGTAGGGGAAAATGGTAACGAAAAATAAACAACGAAATGGAGAAAGCAGACAAGAGCTGAATCTGCTTCAAAATATTTTGCAACATTTCTATTTCGCAAAGTTTTCGTTCGTTTTGCGGTTTGCAGTTCGGAGTCTGCCACTGACATGGCTTCTTGTTAAATGGAGAGAGAGAAGACAACCGACTACCCAGGACATGGCTCTAATTAGGAGGAGGGCCAAAGACAATCCTCGCTCATAAAAGTCAACGGAGCATGTCAAAAGCAATTTATGAGTGTGTGTGTGTGTGTGTGTCTGCCTGCCACAGCACATGACTCGAACTAGGGAACTCCGGGTGCCCAACAAATGCTCAAAAGGCATAAATAAGTGGATGAATGGTGCAGGGGGAGGCAGTGCCCCATGTTTGTCACTTTGACAGTTGCAAAATCCAACAGACATCCTGTGCTGCCTTGACAATTAAATTGTAATTCAATGCATTGGCAGGGTGGAGGAGGGAAACCACAAGCTACCCAACATCTGCTGTGTCTCAGTTAATCAGCTTTAATCGACACCTGAGTCTCGGCAATTGCGACGACGCCCACAACCAAGTCTTCAAAATAATAAGCATAATAATCATGGCAACTGCTCTGAAAATGCTAATGCCACCCCAAACAGAAATTAAATTTCCATTAGTTTTTACAATGCCAGGGAGGCCAATGCTGCTCACCCAAAGTAAAAACAGGACAGAAGCCAAACTGCTTACACGTGACGCACACAGACACAGACTGGGCCACGCGCTCTCTTGTTTTACAGGCAATGCAAAAGCCTCCTCAAGGTCACTGCTGTCAGTCTGTATTGCCTATCTGTATGTGTGTGTGTGTGTGTGTGTGTATATTTGTGCCCATAACACAGATGTTTGAAGGAACACCCCCCTCTCACGAGGAGCAGAGGGTTTGAGGGGGTCATAACCCCTCGACAACGTGCGACCAACGCCTAAAAATGCCCTCCTTAATACCATACCCTAGCTGAGGTCCTCAAGTTTTTGGCCCTTTATGCATCGCGGAGGCTGGCAAATATTTATTTTGGTTTATCAATCATACGCACCGTGGGCCAAAATACTGGGAACAGCTTGGGCAGAGAGGTAAACAGCGCTCGAACTGCGCAGAATCGCCAACTTGCAGGATAGCACGTGGTTAATAACAGACTTCTGTTAGCCATGGCTTATGCGAGGGGGCCAAGGCTAAGGCTGGTCGTTTTTGGCGGAATGCAGGCGTAAGCCATGTACAATGGGTAGAAAAGTTCGAATGGTGACAAGGAAATGCTTTTCGGAAACTTCAACCCAAGAGTTTGCTCAAATTCAATGCACTTCGGTTTTTGTGTATCCCCCTCCCCCCTCACTTTTCCCCTCCATCCAACATGAATGGCCAATGTCCAATAGAGCTTAGGGCCAATGTTCCACATCGTATGCAAACACAAGCTTACATACCCGAACATACTCACTTGGCCATCAATGAAGTCAAGTCGAGTTCAAAATTCTTGTCGCTGACCCAAAAGATGTCTGCAAGTTGTAAAGTTTCTATTGCTTTTGATGGGTTTTTACCATGGCCATAAAGGCGAAGGAGAAGGCGAAGGCGAAGGCGAAGGCGATTGGTAAGCAGACAGCTGAAATAAGATGATATATCGCTTATATTGGTAATGGTATTGGCCAGGGATATTGGCCTGGTTGATTGCCCTGCAGTTAAGCCCACGCCAATTACTTGGCCAGCTGTTTATGTTGTTGTCGTCTTTCGTCTAGCCGAGGATTCGCCTCAAATTCGCTGCTTGTGTAGGCCCCTCGGCCTTGACCTCCAGCCACCTTTGAACTGTAAACTGGGCGTTGTCTGGTCTGAATATTTGCCAGATGAATCACTGTTTGCCCACCTGTCTGGCCCAGAATCATATTTTTTACCATGGCGCGTAGACTGCTTAACGGCCAATTACATAGGACTACGAAAATTGTTTCACATTTATAAGAATTATTGATGCCAGTCTGCTGTCAGCTAAAGTGGGTGTTAAAGAGAGAAAAACAAATTTGTGTCTTTAAAGGAATATAAACTTAAAATATATTTTAAGACTTGTTTTAAGCGTTAATATTTAACACTATATGCAGTTTAATCTCCACATTATCTTATCTTCAACTTCTTCAAGCTACGCTTAAGAGTGTTCTTAAGTTTCTGGCATAAGTCGTTTTTCCAAGGTAAACACATTTCGAAATTGCCTCAACGCGACTTCAAATTAAAAGTTAAATAAGCGCAGCTGGCAAAAGGCGGCGCTGGCAAATGAGATGGGGAAAACGAGCTGCGTTTAATGAAAAGCAATTAATCGCTTTATGTTAAACACACAAACTGAAATGTGGGACGAAGAGAGCGTGAGAGGAGGAGAGGGCAGTGGGTGGCCCCGTATGCTGTGCAAACAGATAAAAGCGCAAATTTGTTGACATTGCCAAGAGCTGGAATAATAACAAAAATAATAACAAAATGCTGCCTTTGTTGTCGTTGTTGTCGCTTGTCAAACAGCATTTCCAACAGCTCGTTGAAACATATCTACATACATATATGACTTTTTTCAATCAACTTCCATTGAAAAGTGCAATTATTCACAGAAATTAAACGCTTTTCATAATCAGATTTACGAATCGGAATGTGACAAAAGCACAGACTTATATCTCTATTTATAACTCCTTCGTGCTCTTACTTGCTGGCTGCCTGTGTCTGATTCGTTGACGTTTACGCAAAAAGTTGATGAATGCCACGAACGACAACCGAAAAGTTGGCATCAAGTCAAAGGCAATGGCAAAAGTCGCAAGGACAAAGTTTTGCAAGCCATAAATAATACATATAACAAGGACAACAACGACAGCGGGTACAAACAACATTGTAGACAGCGCGTAATTTTAATTATTATGAACTCTGAAATGCGCCAAATTAGAGATTCATTGGTCTCGACAAGGGGGGCGGGGTCATAGCCAATTAGGAGGGAGGGGCCGACGAATCAGACAATGCCAAAAGTTTTCCCCTCGCTATGAACTTTCGCAACAGTTCATTTGTGTCAGTACGTTGTCTCACTCTTATGCGTATGTGTAGTACACCTAAGGGTGTCTCAAAATAATATCAACATAAAATATACTTAATTTTAAATTATAAAATATTTTACTATTTAAAGAAAACAGAAAATAAAATTATTAAAATTTCATTAAATATAATTTTTTTTAATATTTTTTTTGTTCCTATTTCGTTGACCTCGATTGTAGGTGTGTGTTACGCATTGAAATGCTAGAATTCTATTTCAAGCCAAGCGCTCGAAAGCAGGCAATAGAAATTTGAGCTTCCTGCTTTCTGCGCTAGCAAGTAGGCAATGCTAATTGCAGGCCGCGCAATTCAACCATGCGAATGTGTGGGTGTCTGCTTGTGTGTGTGTATATGTGTGTTGTGTGTGCTCAATATCAAATTCATGTAAATTTAATTACGCATGCCTGCGTCGTGTTTAGATATGTATGTGTTCTTGGGCGCTTTTTGGGTGGGCGGAGGTGCCTCAATCTTGTAGCTCGATGTTTACGCATATTTGATTTCACTTGCAGACACACACACCCATGGTCGTACCACCGCCGCCTAATTAAATTGTTTATTTCCCCAGCAGAACTACTTACCAGATGAGGGATTATGCAAAAGGTGGGCGTGATCCCCGTGGGCGGAAGTGAAATGAACTGGTTGTTGCATCAAAGTTGCATGTTAATTTCAAACAGCGTTTCGTCATTAGCAAACTTTCTTCTTGAACCTATTAAATTCAGCATTCTTCACTGAGCCTTCCATTTAAGCCTGGGAATTTTCCGGATTTAGACATGGCATTAACTTTTAATGCAACGCAAATTGCTTGCAATTAACGGCACACGGCAATTTTTGCTCTTGTATGCCTTGCATTTTGTTCGGAAATCGTAAAAGTAATTTGCAAAGTTTTTCTCGCGATTTTTCCAAAAAAAAAGAAAACAAGAGAAAAAAATATTAAAGCCAAACGCAAAGTTTATGCAAAGTTTCCAACAAAGTGTTGCCAGCTAAACAAACTGCAGACGAGAGCCAAGCTTGCCACGCCTTCTGCCCCCATCGCCAACGCCCCCAAAATGTCCTGGAAGATTTCTGTTTTCCTTTCTTTTTTTTTTTTGCCTTTGCCTTTGCCCCCGTGCCTTTTGTTTATTGTCAGCAGCGAAAAAGTTGGAACTCCACTCCCACAGAAAGTTTTCCAAAAGGGAAATGAAATGGAATTCGGGAATATGGATTCCCTGTATGGCACTTCAATACTATGCTGCAGTTGCATATATGTACAGGATCACTGGTTGGGTGCAGTCGGAATCCCCCTGTGGAGCTGCCCTTTAAAGTGTTGGCATAAATTGTTGCAGACATTTTAATTTCATCCTTCCCCCGAATAATGCAATCCCCACATATATTTCTAGTCCGCCTTTCCTTTCTATCCCACAGTCGCGAAACTTTACGCATAAACAAAGGCCGGCTTTTGGCCCTTTTGGTTCTGCAGCTCTTCAGCTCCTCGCTCTTGGCTCTTGGCTTTTCTGGCGCTGGCAGCCAGCAAGCCCTTCACTTGCTTTTAGCTTCAAAATGAAGCGATGAAAGCCAAAACTCGTTATCGTTTAATTCAGGCGAATGGCGAATGGCGAATGGCGAGCAGGAGAATCCCGCCAAGTCGAACTATTGGCAGCTGTCTTGCCTTGGCTTTCGATTTTCTTTATCTTGTTTTTGTGTACTTGGAAAATTGATAAATATTGGCGGTGCATTGAAAATGTTTTTGGGAAAATTAAAAGATATTTAATAATAATTTCCGTTTACCTTTAAATTTGTATCTTTCTTCTTTTCGGGTAGAAGTTTAGTTAATAAAAAAAAGACTTTTATTTTCCGATTCATTAATGGAGAATCCCTTTTTATCTCAGTGTAACTGATGAACCTTCTTCTTGTTGTCTTAGTAATGCCACTGACAGCAGCGATGGATGATGGGTGGCGGTGAAACGGATAGCAACTGCTTTTTGCCGTCTGACAGGCTGCTCTCCAATCTCTAGCCCCCTCCCCAAAAAAAACAAAACCCTAAACCCTATACCCAAACCCATTTCCGATTTCCCATTTGTCGTCTTTCACTTCTCCCTTAGCTCGATGCGCTTTTGTTGCAACTTTCGAGCGAATATTTGCATAATGCAGCTTGATTGATGTTTGCATTTTGGGGGGGCAGATGGAAAGAGAGAAAGGGCTTGCCTTCTATTGGTAATGAAAAGCGGGCTGAGACTGAGCACCGAGTGCTGGCCAAGATTGAGGGGGCAGCCCGGCCAGATGACGACAATGACAACAATTCACAAACTTGTAAACACATCACCAGGCGCCTTCATATTTGCTCAGCCAGCTCGGTTCGGGGAATACTTTGGAGTCCTGGCTAGGATGTTGGGGCAAAAACATCGGCATCCACATCGACATCGCCATCAAATGGCAGCCGTAAGTAGCACAAGGCAACACCGCAGCAACATTTGTTGCCGCTGTTGAGTGCAAATAGTTTTGGGTTTTTGCTGCTGCTCCAGATGCCTCGTTGCCGTTGCCATTTGCCGTTGCCTTCGTCACTTCCACGTAGTTCCTGGTCTGGTTTGGTCCTGGTTTATTGTGGAATCCCACCCATCCAAACAACCAGCTGGCACCCAGCCAGCCAGAGCAGTAAGAAAATCCAAAAGGTTTAGGTATAACCAGCAGTTGGCAGTGGGCTTTCTCCCTCTCTCTCTCTCTTTGTTTACCAACATTCGCAAACAACATTTTTCTTTTGTATTCCATTCGCACTTGCCTCAGTAAAGTAAACTGAACAGGAATCCAATAGATTGCATAACAAATCGAAAGGGCATATAAATTATGGAGCTAACAGAAATGCCTTACCTAAGTTGGCATATTCAAGCAGAGCTAAAGCTATTTCATCTCCCTCGCTTGGTTAATTAAAGTTTATCCTATAATAGGAGTATACACTATCTGGCAATGTTAGTCCAAGTCATTTTGGTTTTCCTATTTGCGGCATTTAGAATGGGTTTTCCATTGGACCAGCCTCTGCGTAAGTGGAAAATCTTTGTATTAACTGGAAAATATTGAAAGCTGTCTATAAATTTTTCAGACTACGAAGAAAATAATATTAAGCAGAAAAGAACTTCGCTTATAGCTTCTTGCCTTAGCCCATCAGAATGCTTTATAGTAAGAAGAGTAGGTTCTTGTCCCAAGGAAGAAGTCTGTTGTAGTTAGGGAAAGAAGTTAATGCAGCAGAACTAACCATTGAAATTAAATGAAGCCTAGAAACAGACTTAAAACTTAACAAATAGGTTCATAAAACTAATTTTTCTCTTAATATAAAAACAGCTTCCTCACTGCTTTTATCTGGAAATGTTAGTGTATATCTCAAAGCTGGAAATGCTATGTTCCCGACATCTTGAACCATGTTTCTAGAATTCCCCAAGGCCGCCTCATTGACTTGGAGTCAAAGGACCCGACCACGCCCCCCTTTTGGCGTTCCGGCAGCTTATTAAATGCACCCGAGCGAGACATCAAAAGCTTCTCCAACCGCAGCCAAAATGAGTGAAGGAGGATTGCAGTAGCAGCAGCAGCAGCAGGAGGAGGAGGAGGAGTAGGAGGATGGGGATACTCCATTCCACTACACTGATGTTTATTAAATAGTTGCACGACGTCGTGTGTTGGCCATGCCCATTTTGCTTTGGGAGTTGGTAAATAGGAAAGGGACGGGCGGGTGGTTACTTCATGGCTTAGTGCATTCCTGCAATTCATGCAATATTTCAATTTTGCATTCACCAGTTGCGACGACAGCAAGTGTTTCGGTCCACCCTGAATACTTCATTGGCCGCTGGTTTGGGAATTGGAAAGTGGGTGGCAGGGAGACTGGGAGACTGGGAGCCTGGCAGCCATGGCAACCTTTGAACCGAAATTAAAACCAAACAAATGTCACACCAGCAACGCAGCAAATGTCTCGCTTTTCCCGGGCTCTTTTTCCCCTCCACTTTTCCCCCGCCTTTGGCTGCCAGGGAACAGCATCCATCCGCCTTGTTGACTTAATGCAGAAATTGCAAATTTCCCGTTACAGAACTGCGTAGGCAGCCAATGTCGAAGTCAGTTAACTTATTTTTACCCAGCATTTATATGCAAAAGAAGGGTGTTGGCATTAAATCGTTAAGCTGACATTGGCCTCCGCTGGAACTGGGGAGTTCTTTTTGCATAAGCAATTTATTGGCATAAATTAAAGAAAGGAATTTATTCTTGGCATAGTCGAATTTTGCATTTTTAAGAAATAAATACCAAATATCTTTACGCAAATTCCATTAAAATTTTCTTAAATTTCCTTGATAAATAAGATGACTCACCGGAAAACGAAGACAAAATTTGTTTTGCCATCAAACTTTCATTCCTAACATTTTTTATCAGCAAGTTTCAGAATAAACAAAAAGGTTCTGTGGGGAATAAAAATAATGACGTAGGGTTTCAGCTGTTGTAGTTACTGATTTCGGAAATAAGGCAATATAAATCAGAGAATTTCGGATATCAAGATTCATTCGGTGTTTAGATCGCGATACATACGTTTCCCATAATGATTGTGAAATTATACGCCGTAGTTCTGGCTCTAGAAGTTCTTCATCAGACTGGGGCCAATATTTCGGAAATATCACAAAAACCCAGTATTCGGGTCTGCTGCCCTCGAAATCGTATACTGGCCAACAGCGAGTGTAGTGAAAGTGTAAAGAAGGAGCTTCTGATGGTCAAACCGTATCTGAACAAGTTTTTAGATGACGGATCCATGAAAACCCTGTACCTTAACACCGATTTAAAAGTGGAAAGTGATCGGTTCGAATATTGTGATGAATTTTATAAACTTACGGGAGATGAGCTCATAATGTTTGAGGTTTGTCTTTAAAACTCCTTATTATTTTTCTGTTATCCTAATAAATATTTTACAGAACGGAGATTTTAGTATTCAAAACCAAAACTTAACCATAAGCAAAGAGGATTTCTGCCTCTATGCCAACCAACATAACTTGGAGCTTCGAAAAGATTTATTTCTTGTTATACACAGGCCCTGCGAGTATAGAAGTTCCGAAGAACCAAATCAGGAGATATATAGTAAGTAAATGTCAACTATAAGATCTCAAAGTTTAAACTTGTTCAAGATCAATTTTTCAAATTCAAAAATTACCCGCCAAGACAGAGGGCGCTTGAAACATTATATCGATTATATCGAATTAAAACATCGATCAATAACCTAACATAACCTAAAAAGCTGTCGAAGAGAGTAAATAAACAAGCGGTTTGTTTATTTACTAGCTAAATAAGTAAAAGTTATAATACACATTTTGTTTTTATTCCTGCAGTTGTTGTCATATCACTGACTTGCAGTATTCTAACAATCGCAGTTTATGTTTTCGTAACTAAAAAATGGAACCTGATCCAGATGTGCTTTTTCTGCTACATTATTTGCTTCTCATTTCACCATGGGATGTGGATTCTGACGAAGTATGGAAATTTACTGAACGAGGCTTGTACTTTAGCAGGTCTGTTGTTCAAAAGTAATTAAGAAACCATTAAAATATCGAAATCCCAAACTCTTACAGGTTACGCTAGATACTTCTTTGCATTGGGATCTCTTTTTTGGCTTTTTGCAATTAGCTTTCAAATCAGAATAGGATTGCTGGCAATACATGTGAATGATTCTCGATATAGATTTGGTATCTACAATGTTTTTGTCTGGGGCTTAGCGGCTTTGGGGACCAGTGCTATATTTCTAATAGATCGGATTTGGGGCGGAGATCTGTCAACATTGAAATGGATGCCTTCTATTGGTTTCTATCAGTGCTGGTTTCACCGTAAGTTTAACATACGTATACCGAAATCATTATATTTTATCAAATGTTTCGTTTTGTTTCAGCTAATGACTGGTCCATACTAATATACTTTATTGGTCCGATACTGGCTCTAAACTGCATCAATTGGATCTTCTTTCTGGTGGCGGTCTTTCAAATAAAGAAGGTGGCCCTTAACTTGAAAAAGTATCAGACATCTAATTCGATCCCGCAAAAACGACGGTAAGAACTAGTTAGATTATGTAATGTTTACTCAAATCATGTTGTATCCCAAATCTTAAAGATACCTCAAGTTTCTGCGATTGTTTGTCATGATGGGCATGTCTTGGATCCTGGACTTTATTCCCTACTTCATTCGTGGCAATGTATATTGGCAATATTTATTTTTGCCTGTTTTCTACTACCATTTATCTTTGGGTTCGGTTGTTTTTGTATTATTTGCCCTAAAAAGCAGTACAAGGCGTCTAGTCATGGAACGGTAAGATCATTAAATAGTCTCAAGTTTTTTGTTAACCTTATTATTTTTCTACCAGGATTCAGGGCAGAACACAAAGTCCGCTTGTTCAGATTTAAAAGAAGAAATTGGCAACTTTTGGTAATAAAAAATTCGTAGAAACTAATCCATGAGTAGACCTTTAGCAGTTATGTCATTTTTATAAATAATTTGAGTTAACTTTTTCAATAAAAATCCCATTAAATTTGTACAAACTATTGGTTGCCTGAAATTCAATGAGCAAAGAATGGCACTGATAAGGTTTCATGCCTCTTGCCCCTCGAGGCATCTCCTACGCACTTTTCACCGTAAAGAAATGTATAATTTGAAATTGAGATTTATTTCACTGTACTTGGAATGTATTCCCCTGGCAGTAGTTTTCAATATAATGAATATTCTGATAATTATATACTCAACTGTTAATGTTGATTTGAATGAAAAGAATTTTATATTAATGGTTAGTCACGTTGGAAAAATGTTTTCGTGCCACTGATTTTATATTTAATGCCACTTATTTATATTAACAATGTTTAGTCTAAAACTTGCTTAACAACTATCAAGAATATATTTTTAATACCTAACCTCTGTCATGCCTTGTTATTGCCTCGTGTTCGTGTCGTTAATGTTTACTGTTTGCCGTGTGCATAATTTGGTCTCAAGAGCAGCTCTTGAATTTTCCGGCATCTTCTGCGCCACCAACTTGGGAAACACATTAACGGAACTCACTTTCGCATAATGAAATTTTTGAACACGGAGAGCGGGTAGAAAATTTATGATGCCTTGCCACGTGAAAACAGGCCACAAAAGGCCCTGGAAATCATTTTTCATCCGGGAGCAAACATTGAAATTGTTTGCTTGGCGGCTGTTAATTATGGTGTAGGCTATTAACTAAACGCAGTCCAAGGACGCCCAGGACCTTGGCTAATAGATGTTGCCATAGTGAGCATAAGAGAGAGAGTGTTTTGAACATGCTCCTTGACTTTCAGCCACACAATTGCATGTGACACATTTTGGCGCAACAATTTCAGCCACAAATTGCTGCAGTTTCAAGTCAACATTTCTAGGCCGTTTACATAGGGGGTTTTCTCTCTCATAGCAGCAACTACTCTCATTCCATATACCATCTGGCGCCATTTACAAGTCACATTAATCAATTTCCCCGTCGCCTGTCAGCGGCAGCCTTCAAATGGCACTGTTCCCGTCCTCTAGCCGGGGAAAGATCCCGCCAGGCCAAGCGAAACCGAAAGCTGAAAGCTGCCTCATGGGCAAGGTTTCGGTTTCCATTGTGTGTGTTTGCCAGGATTATACACTAGGAATAAATCTGGGTGAGTTAACATATGAAATGATGATTCTTTACTATGAAGCAACCTTAACTTCAGTCAGTAAAAAAGACAGGAAAAATCGTAGAAAATTTCTCTCCGTGTTGCATGTGAATTATAACAGCTCCTGGAGGTCGGAGCACAGAGATCTGGTTTGGTGCATTTTTGGTCTAGCGCCAGTTAAAACTTAATTAAAACCATAACAAAACAAATGCTGCCAAACAACAACAACAACAACAACAAATAGAGGAAATAGAGGCTGCAAAGAGGAAAAGCATTTTACTAGGAAACCCCCGGAATAAAGTTTATGGCCAGAAACTTGGCGTTGGTCCGAGTAAATCTTTGCCGCCGAACTGGCCACATTGCCTCCTTGTTGTTGTTACAATTTTTGCTTGCTTAAATGCAAAAATGCCAAAACATAGGGAATGGGGAAATGGAAAATATGAGGGAAAACATGGCAAACATTTTCATTTACACACATGGATGCAATTAAAGTAAGAATGTGTGTGTGTGTGTTTGTGTGTGTGTGTTTGGTATTATTCGACCGCCATTCATTCCCCTTCCTTTCGCAAATTCTTCTCCTCTCAACGTGTCGTTAGTTCTTTTGTGCATTTGAAATTTAATTAACACGCACACACACACAAAAAAAAGAGAAACCAACCAACACACAAACACACACAGAGAGAGAGAGAGAGAAAGATAGGAAACAACAAGTGACAGCAAAAAAATGGCAGCAACAAAAACTAATAAAAACTCATTTCAAACAGTTTTTGATGAGCCCGGAGGGGGGGGCGAGAGAAGTTCCAGGATCGGACAGGACACTCCTCTTGCTCCTTGTTCTCCCCTTTGCTAATTCAGCGCCTGTTGCCATTGTCCCAGCGTTGAAATTGCGGAAATGGAAGAAAATGGCGAGCCAAGCAGCTTCCGCTTTTGTCTCCATCTTCCCTTTTTTAGCCCGCCATAATGAATGTCAACTTTGCTGTAAGCTATATTCCATTGAGGAGCCAAGAAAACTGGCCAACTAACTTGGCCAACGCTTTAAACTTGAAAATGCATCGCTTACATTTTAACGACCAAGTTTTATTACCAATTAAGATGGCCCTCAAACTCAAGCATTTAGTCATATTTGTAAGCAGTTCAGGCAGGTGCCTCGTCCAATTCAATCAACTATGGCATTAAATTATGATATGAAAATGTGAAAATTACATAATGGCAAAAGTTTCGTTTATGGCTGAGACATTAAGCCCATAAAAGCCAGCTTACAACTGTTGGGAATATGTTAGAAGACATTAACAAATAAGGTTGGGGAAATGTTACTAAAGCTCTCAAGGGTCGTAAAAAAGTCAAAGAGTTTTAAGGTAACAAAGTTTCTAGAGAGAGTAGAAGCAAGCAGCAGCAGCAGCTTTAACTATTAAAATGAAAAAACACTGGCTAGTGTCAATGAATTTTAAATAAAAGTTTCTCTTTATTAAAGACAATATTTGTTTTATAAAAAAATGTTCGTTTATCTTCTTTTTGATTAAAAAATCAATTAAAAGAACGTTAATTAGTTTTCACTGCTTAAAAAAGTTATATTAATGGAAGTATTAAAAAAAAGAAGGTTAAACTGTTTTCACTGATAATCGCAGAGCTGGCAGGCACAAACTTTTTTAAGAGTTAAAAAAAAGTTAAAAAAGAGACAAAGTTTATTCTTCCATATTTATCAAAATAGTCACTGTTGCGGATTAAAAAAGAGCAAGAAAAAATATTAAATGTTTTTATTTACTTAAAAGCTTAAAGAGTAGAAGAGGGAATATGTCAAAGTTAAACATGAACAGCCTCCTCAGCCTTGACTAAAAAACTCACAAAGAGAGTTAAAACTCAAAATATTGACACCAAAAATAGCAATGAATTACACAGCTTGACAGAACAAACCACAACACCATTTTAGACATTTTCATTCACTTAAATTCCACAAATAAATCTAATCAATGAAACCCCAAACTTTTGATCTGCTGGCCACAGACCGCAACCACCTGTGAGTGTCCATAATTGATGGCCCCAAATTTCATCAGCGAAACCCCCGAAACAAATCCCATACAAAGCCCCGGCCATGGCTGCAAGTCGTGCCCAAATGAAGTGTGAAATTTGAGCATTTAAGTCGTGCCAGGATGGTTAGGACATGGTTTTGGGATTGAATTTGGGTTGGTCAGGGAGTGCTCGGGAGAACCAACACGCGATTCCTCAACAACACACTCACAAACTGCAGCTGTTAAAAATTAAATCGCTTTTCATTATTTATACGCTGTGATTTTCAGCAAGCTGAAGTCAGAAAGGAAAGAGGAGTGAATGGTCGCTGGTCAAAGTTGCCATGGTCATGCACATCCGCAGGACACAGATTCGCAAAAAAAAAAAAAAGAAGAAAATCCTGAAATGAATATGGAGAGGGGGGAGGGACAGGAGTCATGTCTGCTCGCAGAGCCAAATATTTGCTGCGCTGAACGGTTTCCATTGGACTTTTATGAACATTTTGACGATTTCGATTTTCAAAAGTCAATATTTACACATCGTTCCTCCCGCTCCCTGCTTTTCCCCCCCATTAACCCTCCCTCCCGTCCTTGTGCTCCGCTTCTCTCCCATTCTCTGTAGTTTATTGGATGTGCAGTTAACCAAAATAAATCGTATATCGGATTTTGCATTGGACCCCAATCGCTCGAACTGAAAATAAAATGCGGAGTGGACCGCTGCTCTGTGTAAACCGCTTAGAGAAAATTACTCATACGCCGGGTGGGAGCTTTGGCATTTCAGATTTACCAATATACATTTTTGCTCGTATATATATATATTTTCTTTATTCCCCTGCCACTCGACCCCTCGACAATGCACTCTTATTGGCAGCCACTCGCTAAACAGTTGACCCACTTCCTGGTTCCTGGTGGGTTATTCCCACACCCCACCGCCCACCGCCCACCGCCCCACTGCATCATCTTCAGCATAATAAGCTGTTCCCTGGCCCAGTTTGTGGCGCTTCTTTTTCGCTTCCAGCTTGTCATTTTCAATTTGGCTAATCGACACACTCGCCCCACATTGTTGCCGTGGCTTTTTGGCCCGGTACTCTGCCTGCCTTCCCGCCTGCAATTGTTCCAAATAGTCACGTGGCTTGGCAGCCTCTCTGAGCAGCAGCCAAATTCCGCACTGACCCACATAAAAAAGCCACTGTCGAAAATATTCCGAGGGGCAGGAGGAGCAGTTGTTTTGGCCTGGCCCCTGGAAAACTCTGAATGGGTAACATCCAGAAGAGATTGCCACGTAATCGGTATAGAGAAGAGGCTTTGCAGGTGAAACATGACAAATTGTGAAGGTAAATTAAGAAACTTAAACATGAAAATTTATAATAAAATACAAATTATCATCAAACTATGTATATAAGTCTAACCAACTTTCACAAATTATAAAACTTTAACTTAAGGCTTAAGGCTTAAGGCTTTCAATTCTAGATCCCAAGATCGAGAATGATGTCCTTTAAATCTATATATAAATCTTTACCATTATCCAACGCTTTCTAGTTAAACTAACCAACCCATTTGGTGAACCTCAGGGCATTGAAATTGCAACCGGGGAGCGCTTACATAAAATGCCACAACGCGGCCGCCACAAGAATTAATTGAAAAGTGAAAGCCGAACCGAGAGCCCAATTCAGATGGTTTGAGTTGTGTTGAGGCAAGCCGCCAAATTGAAAAGCGCTTTTCACAGCGGAATGAGAGGCTACAGTTTCACTTTTCCCCATGGCGCCGCCTCTTAAGCCCCTCCCCATCCCTCCATCACAAAGGATAAAGGACTGCAGTGAAATGAACACGGCCAGACAAAAGGAGGAGCAGCAGCAGCAGTAGCAGCTGCAGAAGCATCTGCATAATTCATCGGACGAGCAGGAGGAGATACAGATAGACAGAAGTGTATGTATGGAAAATGTAATTATATTTGTGAGAGCGAGGGAGAGCCAGCTCCTGCAGCTGTTCGCATTCAATTAGGAACCACTTGCTGCTGAAATCTAGCGCAAGGCTGAGTCCTGATTTAGACTACTCCCACTCTTTTAGCCATCTCTTCTAATTCGACAAGCCAATTTGTAGCCAATTGCGAGTGCAACATCAATGGCAATGCCAGAAAGCTGCTACAACAACAAGAAGAAAAAATCAAACTTTCAACAACTCGACAACTATGTAAGTGACTGGCCAACAGCAGCAACGCCAGCGCAACGGCAACAACAACGAAAATGGCTG